TGATTGGGGGTTGGGTTGAGGCGGCCCTGCTTTGTGCTGAAGGCCAACATACCCAGGGCAGACCGGATAGACTACAAACCCAAAAGGGTATGGTAGTCAGACCGAAGGCCTGGCGAGCGGTCCGGATAGGTTGAAGGCCCTGAGAGGCGGTCCAGACATGCCGAAGGCTCGGAGAGCGGTCCAGATAGATTGAAGGCCTGCGAGGCGGTCCAGACAGGCTGAAGGCTCATTATGCATGTTCTTTTGTATTTGTTATATGATATGGTTATAATTGTATGGCGTTGGTATTTTGGGGAAACTCACTAAGCTTCGGGCTTATAGTTGTTGATTTTATTTCAGGTACTTCTGATGATCGCGGAAAGGCGAAGGCGTGATCGTGCACCTCCTCATATTTTCATGATTGATTCTGGGGATACTCTGATGCTTAAACTATTTTGAAAACAAATTGTAATAACTTAATGGTTTCTAAATGTTTTAAAAAGTTTTAAATTGGCTTGAATTTTATGGATGTTACAAGTTGGTATCAGAGCCTTGGTTTGAGTGAATTGGAGGAACATTCGTGTGAATCCAGTCTCAAATCAAGGAAAGATTTTCAAAATGGTTTTTAAATGGTTTTCAAAATAAGTAAAGGAGGATGCAGAGTGTACGATCAGTCGGAGCCAGTAAGTAGACCCCAAAATACCTTACAGATTATTTGATTTATGTGATATATTAGAACAGCATGCTTGTACTAGGCTAGGGATCTTCAGGAATTGCATGACAGAATTGCCTGATTATATGATGCATGATAGCCTAGGGTTTTCCTTATATGAAATTGACATCATTACTGTAGTTGGTTAGTGTATGCATCACTTCCGTATATAATTAAGATCTTATAGCCTAAGAATGTTTGGTTTGGCCTTATTTCCTGTTCTTTTTTTATTAAGGGCTTAGGGTAGGATCAGGTATTCGAAAGTCTATAGGGTCCAACATTATGTATGGTTAGCATACACGAGTGCTGCAGGGTTGGTGGAAGTTTCATGGGTGGGTTGTGTGAGGCCGGTAGGCCAGTTATGAGATATTTAGCATTCCTCTAGTAGTGAGGATTGAGCGCTCGCTATGTTTATGTATATTTTTAGGGTGTTGTGGTGATACTTGAGACAAATATGGGTAGGTGTGGAAGATAGTATGGGCCCGTACTACTGAAAGCACAGGACCCATACGCGTAGCAAGGAAGTCACAACCCTTAGGGTTTAGTTGGGAGTTGGTTCCCTGTTATTGTATGGATTATCAGAGATCTTTCTGGTGTATTATCATAATGGTAGTTACGAGACGTCTTGAGATCGGATCCGGGTCAGGATTAGGAGCTGGCAGCCAGGATAGGCCAGTATTGTCAGAGGATCGTGTCAGTGAGATCATCCGGGAGGAGGTGATCGAGGTTTTCCGGGGATAGTTGCTGGAGATGTTTGTGTCTATCAAGACCACCACGGTTGAGTATATTTATGAGCGTTATGCAACCATTGCCGAAACGGCTGCCGTGGCAGCTTCAACAGCTGTAACGACGGCAGGGGAATGAGCTGGTCGAGCCTTCCAGTACCGGGACTAGCTACTGCGACATATTCTGATGAGCAGAGGGTTGCAGTTATTTTGGAACAAAGAGATAATTTGTACTCGTTATACTCTGCGGGTTGAGCGGGAAAGGCTAGCACATGAGTTTATAGATTTGAGGCTTTAGTGGTTTTCTCGAGGCCGGAATGTGAGTCGCGAGGACTCCGGAAAAGAGTGATGATTATGTCAGCTGGGGTTTTGCAGCTGGAAGTAGAACGGTTAATTGATGGATTGGAATGTTGTCTTATAGGGCAAGGATAGTGCCCTTTCAGTTTTTGAGCTCGAAGAAGTGAGCAGACTTGGGACCCCAGGATCAGGTTATATTTCAGCTTGGGGTCGGTTGGTTGCAGGGATTGGCGACATTATTTCAGCGCCGGTGAGCGCAGGTGGGTCGAGGTGGCATAAGTATTTTGTGAGATCTGATTCACCTTGGATCTCTTGCATCGGACGGTAAGGATTGATTGTGCGATTCATTGAACTTTTCAAGTTGGAGGCTATGTATTGGGAGTAGTTTGTATCCGGTTTAGGGCAGAGGTTGTTTCAGCTACTGCAGTTCAGCTATGGATGATCGAGCTGGTGAGTGAGTCAGGGTGCGAGACCCTGAATGATATGATTTCTAGAGCCGAGAGCGGGAAATTTGTTGGAGCACTTTGGGAAGAAGGGTATTATATGGGAGGTCTGCGGACAGGGTCCCACAGGATGGTTATTCAGCATTGTCAGGATTCAGTGGTTTTAGTAACCGTTATTGATTGGCGGAGGAAAGCGCCAAGGGAAGCAGCTCGTTGTTGAGACGTTAGTTGGAGCATCTATCTTTGGACTTCAATATTTGGGTATGGGATCATTCGAGCATTAGGGACTGTTGGTTTCCCGGGGATTCAGGAAGTGTTCATCTAGTTATTAGAAGTGTGTGATCATTTGTGGTTGGCTAGTAAAGGAGTACTAGTTGGAAAGGTATGGTTGTCATCAGATTGATCGTTGGAAAGTAAGAAGGATTGGGAATTCTCAAAATTTCATGTATTGTGAAGACTTAGTTGAATCTAAGTGGGGGAGAATCGTCCCAGAATGCAGAAGCAGGATCGGTTTTGAAACTGGGATAGGTTTTGGATCGTTTTCAGGAAGGAAGACAACCCTAGTGGCTGCTTGGTTTGAGTGTTGTATGAGTTGGGAGTTCGGTAAAACTCCCCAGCACGTGGATCACGTCTTCTCGGTGCTTTATAGCAGAACTTTGGGAAATCAAGTTGGGATTCTAGCCATGAACTGAGTTCAGATGTGTGTTAGTTCGAGTGCGTGTTCGACCAGTATGGAAAGTGTTGTAAGACTACGGGGGTAGCCGTAGTATTTACTAGCGATCAGTTAGTATGGGAAGTGTTGTAAGACTGCGGGGGAAGCCGTAGCATTCACTTGCGATCAGTTAGTATGGGAAGTGTTGTAAGACTACGGAGGTAGCCGTAGCATTCACTAGCGATCAGTTAGTATGGGAAGTGTTGTAAGACTGTGGGGGTAGCCATAGCATTCACTTGCGATCAGTTAGTATGGGAAGTGTTGTAAGACTACGGGGGTAGCCGTAGCATTCACTAGCGATCAGTTAGTATGGGAAGTGTTGTAAGACTGCAGGGGTAGCCGTAGCATTCACTTGGGATCAGTTAGTATGGGAAGTGTTGTAAGACTGCGGGGGTAGCCGTAGCATTCACTAGCGATCAGTTAGTGTGAGAAGTGTTGTAAATCTGCGAGTGTAGCCGTAGCATTCACAAGGTTAGCACATAGTGCTAAAGTGATGTAAGTCTGGGGGTGTAGCCGCAACATTCACTAGGTTGGTAGATAGCATGAGTGCGTTGTTAGGACGCGGAAGGAGCAGTAGTAACCACCAGTTCGGGTGCAACATTGAGGATATGGAAATCCACGGATTGGATTTCAGAATTACCCAGAAGGATTAGATCAGGTTGAGCCAGTGATACGACTGTAGGAGTGCCACTACAGTTATGGGATCAGGGAATCAATGGACCGTATAAGATTGCTTGTGATATAAGGCTACCATCGGTTAGGTAGCAATCACTTTTAGCCTGTATTTGGTGACGTCAGGATTCGACGTATGGACCCGATCGGTTGGATCGGGAGGTTGTTAGAGCCACAGTGGCATGATAACTAGTGGCAACTAGTTCCAGAGAAGGATTACATTCAGAAGTCGTGTGAGACGACTAAGTGGGAGCCCTTTCAGCTCAGCGACCGGGCTGGAACCCGGTAATTTAGTTGACTGACGGATGAATTGAGACCAGGAAGGTCTCGATAGATTTTGGGAAGCAGCTATGTAGCAGCATACTGCTTCAGGCAGTTCAGTGCTTCGGGCAGTTTCGGTGTTTGGGCAGTATTAGTATTTGTGTTCTAGGTTGCAAGTTCGGACGGAATAACAAGTTGCTAGGGTTATGCCAAATGACCTGCAGGGATAATTGGGTCTGTGATTTCAGTTTTCTAGTGGGAACCACTGAATATGAGAAGTTGAGTAGCCAGTTGAGGGATAAACGGATTGGGTTCAACGATAATGATTCAGTATGAGTGGCCTGTCAGGGATTCGGACCATCTCGAGACAGCAAATTCCAGGCGGAGTAGATGTGAACTTGTCGCGAGGAATTCGTTCACCTGCGGATGTTAGGGCTTTGTAAAGATTGGACACAGCTACCCTGGGAAGGCTAGGGTGTACCCAGGATGGTGACCATATTACTCGAGTGGTATGGGGCATAAGAAATTGTAAGGAATGATTTCGAGGACGAAATCTAATTTAAGTGGGGGAGAGTTGTAACACCTCATTTATTTCTTTAATAAATAAATTAATTAATGAACGAATAGTAGCCCTAAAATAAATAATTACATGTAAAAGGATGGTCTCCCAGAGCTAATTGTCATAATCTGGAAGTTGAGGGTTAAAAGTGTAGTTCCGGACTGATTTTGTAAGCATTTATGTAAAAGGATGGTCTCCCAGAGCTAATTGTCATAATCTAAATGGTAAATGTTGAACCTTAATTGAAAATAATTTGTCAAGCAAGGGGCTGTTTTGTAAATATCGGACCTAATTAGTAAAGATTTTCAGGGACAAGGTTTAAAAGGTAAATATGGGATTTACTTTGTAATAATTTATGGGAATAGGGGCTAAAGGGGTAAATGTCGGACTTCAGTTGAAGAAGATTCTATGGGGAGGGGCCAATTATGTCATTATGGCAAAAAGTTTAAGAGGTATCGGGTATTTAAGGCATATGAAACCCTAACCCTAGAAGACTATTCCCAGCCGCCACTTTATACCTCCCACCTCCGACGCCACCTCCTTCTCATTCTCCCCAGCCGCCGCCCGATGTCTCTCTCGTTTTCCGACCAGATGGAGTCCCGAACGACGCCGCCTGCTGCCTCACCATCGAGATGCCATCATGGCTTGGCTGTCGGCGAAGACACGTCTCGCTACTGTTTCATTGCCGCCTCCTCGCCACCACCGAAGAATCATCGGAGCAGCCATCGTCCTGGTTTCGTCGTCGGCGAAGACGAAGGGTCACGAGGTGATCGTAAATCGCTGTTCGTGGGCATTGTTGATATTCATGGTTAGGTCACACGCATCCTCTTCTCATTCTTCTGTTGCTCTGTTTCAGCCCGAGTCCGCCACCGTCACGCTGTTGCTGCCTCCGACCATCGCATGTCGCCGAGATGGCGGTTGCGGTGACGTTTCCTTATTTTGTGTGAGCTACTGTTTCAGAATCGTTCATGTCGGGGGTTGTGGGTGTCATCCTATGAGTTTAGTGTGTGTTGTGTGGTTTGGTTTGGCCAGAAAATCGAGGAAGGGCCACCACCACCACCGTGAGGTGGTGGCTGCTACCATCTACCACCACCGGCCACCATAAGGTGGTTGTGTGTGTTTATTTTGTTTAGTGTCTGTGTTTATTTTGAGTTTTAGCATTGTAAAGTGTAAAATTACAATTTGGATAATGAAAAGAAAACTGAAAACCACCACCGTAGGGTGGTGGCTGTCGCCTCCTGCCGCCACCGGCCGCCGTGTCGGGTGGCGGTGTGCTTTGCCTCGTTGTGTTGATTCGTTTGGGGTGCTTGAAACCCTAATTGGCCCAAAGAAACCCTAATGGGCCTAGTGAAATCATAATGGGCCTAATGAACCCTAATTGGTTAAAGGACCTAGCTATTGGGCCTATTGGGCTAATATGGGTTAGAAACCCTAATTAGGGTTTAGAAAACCCTAATATTGGATTTATGAGCTTGGACCTATCGAGACTACATTTGGGCCATTGGAATGGAATTGTGTGTTAAGCCCAATCACACCATATGATTTATTTAGAAGAGTGATGGACTTAATGGATTAAGTCCTTAATGGGTTAAGTGAGAAACACTTAACCCTAATTGTCATTTTATGTGAAACTCTAATTTCACTTGGGTTTATTGTTGGGCCTTTCTATTGGGCCTTGATGATTGGGTATTAATGGGCCATCCAAGGTCAAGCAATTGGACTAGAATAATTAATGAGCTATGAGGTAAGGCCCATATGAGGAGTTGGGCCCAATTTGGAAAATTGGGCCATGGATGGACCATAGTTAGGGCCTTAATGACTATAAGATGTTGGGCCTTAGAATAGGACCATGTAAAGGTTTGGGCCCAATTTGGAAAATTGGGCCATATGTTGGGCTTTGATTCCTAGTTTGACTTTTTGGGCCTTTGGATTGGGCCTTGGGCTTGAATCAAGCCAAGATGGGGTAATGTAGCCTGTTACTCCAAGAACTTGTGGTTATGTGTTGGGACCCAATTATCAATTGGGTGATGTTTTGATATTGACAGTTCGGGAATCTGTCATCCAGCAGCTGGGATTGTGTCTACGGGACTTCAGCATTTTGAGGTGAGTTATCCTCACTATATCAACAGGGTCTAAGGCACCAAGGCCGGCCCTTTATGGATTTGTATCCGAATTATTACATGATATGTTTATTGTTTTGCATCCTGGTAGTTAGGATGGTGATATACTTATGCTTAGTGACCTGGTTTGGTCGGTAACCTGGTTATATGATGATGCTATGTTAGTGACCTGGGTAGGTCTGTGTCCTGGTTATAGGATGTTGCTATGCTATTTGATCTGCTAGATCGGTTTAACTCTTATTATGATAGTGTATGATATGTATGTGCACATGTTTGTTTGATTCGGGGTTGGGTTGAGGCGGCCCTGCTTTGTGCTGAAGGCCAACATACCCAAGGCAGACCAGATAGACTACAAACCCAAAATGGTATGGTAGTCAGACCGAAGGCCTGGCGAGCGGTCCGGATAGGCTGAAATCCCTGAGAGGCGGTCCAGACATGCCGAAGGCTCGGAGAGCGGTCCAGATAGACTGAAGGCATGCGAGGTGATCCAGATAGGCTGAAGGCTCATTATGCATGTTGTTCTGTATTTGTTATATGATATGGTTATAATTGTATGGCGTTGGTATTTTGGGGAAACTCACTAAGCTTCGGGCTTACAGTTGTTGATTTTATTTCAGGTACTTCTGATGATCGCGGAAAGGCGAAAGCGTGATCGTGCACCTCCTCATATTTTCATGATTGATTCTGGGGATACTCTGATGCTTAAACTATTTTGAAAACAAATTGTAATAACTTAATGGTTTCTAAATGTTTTAAAAAGTTTTAAATTGGGTTGAATTTTATGGGTGTTACACATACTCCGACCCGAATGCGTTTATTTGTTGGATTCTCCCAATGACCCAGAGCCCTACTAATTGCACTTAAAATCTAAGGAAATCCAGACTAAAGAATTCATAAGAAATCCAAAGAAAAGGATTGTGAAAGTGTGAGAAAATGAGTGCAAAACTACTGATATAGATAGGAAATAGGCCAGGCATGTCGCACTCATCTATAGGCGTGTCGCGCCTCTGACCTGACGTCGTTCCACTCGCTGTTTGACATGTGTCGTCACCTCATTCGTCCGCATCACCCTCTTCTAAAAGCTTCTACTTGTCACCAATCTGTGGTGTCATGTGTCTCATTCTCGTGGTGCCACGTCACCTAGTCTCGTGGAGGATTTGGTTATCGACAATGCCACGTTGCGCCTCCTAGTGGTGCCACATCATCGTAGCAGGTAATTTCCCGAAATCTTTGAACGGCCATAACTTTCGCAAATGGGCTTTGTTTTCGACGTTCACTATATCCCTAGAATCCTCTCAACGAGCTCTACAACTTTCCTTTAGATACCAATAGCTAATTCTCACTCCATTTTAAATTCATATTTTAATAGAGATTAGACTGTTAAAGTCCGTGTGAAAATCATAACTATTTCATACAAACTCTGTTCTCGACTGTCTTTATATCGACGAGTTAATATTTACGAGATCTTAAAATCTCTTTTACATGGTTTTGGCTAACACTCAACCAATTTTAATTCTGATTTCTGTGTCGCACACTACTATACTGAAACTTCGAAAAATCATAACTTCCTCATACGAAGTCATATTTAGGCGTTCTTTATACGTACACTCTCAATTTTACGATTACTACAACTTTCTTTTAGATTACTTAGGCTAATAAGTAACCTATCTCTGATTCACTTTTTATGACGCAGATAGTTGTGTCGGATTGATCGTAAAACTTCAAAGAAACATAACTTCTTCATACGAAGTCGGAATTAAGCACTCCTTATATCCCCAAGATAGTCATTATGGCTACTACATCTTTAGCTAATATTATTTACTACATCTTAGATATCTAGCCCGAATTTGCGGCCGTTACATATTATATATCCATTTATAGAGTGCATGTTGTTATGGAAAAAATTCTGGAGTCTCTTCGGAATATTTTTTTATTGGATAGGATTTGGAAGATAAAAATATGACTTGTGTTGCTTAGAAAAAGTGCTTAGGTAGTACAGATCTAGGTGGTTTGGGCATTGGGAGCATTTTCGCTTTGAATAGATCTCTTTTATTCAAATGGATTTTGAGGTTTAGAATGCATCCTAACGATTTATGGGTTGATGTTATTAAGAGTATTCATGGTATCGATGGGGGGTTTTGGCAAGCCTTATTACATCATTGCTTCCTTTCCTTGGATTGGGGTTTTAAATTCTATTAAAAACCTCTCTTTAAAAGGTATCGACCTTCTTTCTCTTTGCATTCGCAAGCTTGGTAATGGCGATGCTATCTCTTTTTGGCATGATGTGTGGTGCGATGATATTGCCTTTAAAGATAAGTTTTCAAGGGTTTTTGCTTTAGAATTGGAGAAAAACTGCATGGTTTCTGCCCGTATTCGACTCTTAGATTGGTTGTCGACTTTTAGAAGGCCTCCTAGAGGAGGTGAGGATATGCTTCAATATGATTTATTGAGGTCTTACATTGCACCTGTTAACTTGGAGGATGAGTGTGATGCTTGGAGATGGTCTATTGACCTGATTAAAAGTTTCACAGTTGCCTCAGATGGTTACTTTATCGATTACATTATTGTGGAGACAACTTCTCAACCTTCTAGATGGAATAGATTGGTCCAGTATGAAGTAAACATTCTTTTTTTAGATATTGATTTCGAATAAGGTTTCAACTATATTCAACTTGGACATGTGTGGTATTCATGGTGGTTCGTTGTTGTACCCGATTTGTGATGGTGATGTTGATATAGTTAACCATCTCTTTTTTCTTATGGTATGGCGTTTGACTTGTAGAATCTCCTAGGTAGATGATGGGAGATGGACCTCATGTTTTCTCGCCTACCTCTAAATGGTTATCTTCGTATGACAATGTTCGTTTATCTTCCTAATTGAAGAAGTGTTTGGAAGCAGTGGTTTTTACTATGATGTGGGCGATTTGGTCTTTTAGATATGGATTGTTGTTTGCACATGCTAAACCTGCTAAGTCGGTGCTTCGTGATTTCATCCAATCCCAATCTTTTATTTTAGATTTCTTCTAGATGTTCTAAGCTTAGCATTAAGTGGGTTAATTGGGTGCAAAGTCCACCTTATGTAATTACTTAATGTTTTTTTCATTCAGCTTTTGCAAGTTTTAATATATTGTCGGCGTTATATATATATATATATATATATATATATATATATATATATATATATATATATATATATATATATATATATATATATATATATATATGCTAATCGGAATTCGAAACGGATGTCAAGTTATACATAGCTAATCAGAATCTGTATAACTCGAAAACAAATAAGATTTCTAAAAAAACATTGACATTTTTTTCGAGTTATACAAATTCCGATTAGCCTATGTATAATTTGACACCTATTTTGAATTCTGGTTAACCTATATATTAATCATATTAAAATAAATAATTTTTTACCTAATCTATGTTAATCATATTCATATTTAACAAACTTTTTTATATTTTTTACCAAAAAAATATTTATAAAAAGCTTTACAAAACTATAAACAAACAAAAAGTTAAAAAAAAATTAAAAAAATGTATTAAAACAAAACGTCAAAAAATGTAAACGAACAAAACGTAAAAAAAATACTAAAAATATATTCGAACAAAACGTCTAAAAGATCTAAATCATATAAAATAAAATGTTAGCGAACAAAATGTAAAAATAAAAAATAAACAATATATATATATATATATATATATATATATATTAAATAAAAGAAAAAAAATTAGAAGGCAAAATAATCTTTTTATTTGAAAAAAGGATAGGGACTATAATTTGTTAAAACCATAGGAATGAAGCCTCTCAATGCTTTTAATTAGGGACCAAAAATGTAAATTTGACCAAACCATAAGAACTATTTCGGTAATTTACTCAAATAATAACAACAATACATTTTAATAAATAAAAAAAGCAAGTATAAAATTCATAGA